TACTTGGGGTTAAATTTTTGTGGGGTTCTGGGATTTTGTTTTTATTTCTGATTTTGGTTTCTTCGTTTGTTGAAGATGTGAACTGGTTATCTCCGCCAATGGAGGAGCCACTGAGAAACTGGCATCTGGGCTTCTTCAGCCGTTTATTTCCCACTTGAAATGTGCTAAAGATCAGATTTCTAAAGGGGGTTACTCCATTACTCTTCGCCCAGTTGCTGCAGGACCCAGCCCTGCCTGGTTCACCAAGGGCACTCTTCAGAGGTTATTTAGTTATTCTCTTTAATTCTCTCTTCTTGTCGCATTATGGATTTCTTTTGTAAGATTATTGGAAGTCGAATAGTTTTGGGTGGGGTGGATCCAAGCTTAGCTGGTTTGTTATTTTGCATAATTGTTACTCTTTTGTGGATTTGTTTGATGCAGATTCGTGAGATTTGTCAGCACGCCGGAGGTTCTTGAGAGATTTGTTACTATAGAGAAGGAAATTGTGCAGATCGAAAATTCTATGTCCACAGATGCAGAAGGTTTGCTTAGAGGATTTATGTTTGTTTACTCTCCTGGTTTTTGTGCCTGTAATTGTTTTTCCTAGTTTCTATTTGTTCACTTTTACTTGTATAAACTTCAAATTTAAAACGAAAATTGAATAGTTTTCCTCTGCAAACTCTGTCTCTCATGGATGCTGGTTTTTCGAAACATTTGGTAAATTGGTTCTGCAATGAGCTTGCTCCTCGTACTTCATGTATGAAATGATGCTTAGATAACTGGAGCTATCTAGATTTTCTGCGAGTTTTGGGATGCATTGACTTATATTTGGGCTTATATAAATCCTTTTAATCACCATGCTTGATGCATCTTATGATGTTCGATGTGGAATTTACAGGAAATGCGACGAYTGCTGATTGGAACTCAAAAAGATCTAGCCCCACCACGAGGGTAAGTCGTTTGTTTTGTCATTCCTTGGAGATGCAACAACTTCTGCATGTTCATGCAGTAATGTTAGACCTTTTAATTGTGATGGGGAAAATAGGTGAAGGGTGATTCCGACGAATCTAATGACGATGCTGCATCTAAGGAGAATCCCAAGTAATATCAGCATTCCTATTACTCATGGCTAATCATTGTATCTTTTAGATTTAATAATTTCTATTCTCTAATGCACTGATTTTTCAGTAATGGGTAATCTACAGGATCCACCTTCAACGTGTTCTAGAAACTCGAAAGGCAGTGCTACACAAAGAGCAAGCAATGGCTTATGCCCGTGCTTTAGTTGCAGGATATGAGCTAGATCATATTGATGATCTTATATCTTTTGCTGATGCTTTTGGAGCTTCACGTTTGAGGTATGGATTCGGGCTATGACTAACGAAAATGATTTATTCTTCGAATGACTGAACAACTTTTAGCTGATGTGCTTTGCTTTTGGACAGTATTTCTTCAACCATGTTTATTTTTTGATAAAAATAGTTTGTGTCATTTTGAACTCAAAGTTCAAATTCAAATGACAAATACAACTGCAAGCAATCCAATATTTGGATTGAAGACGAGTGGATGATAGTTTGCACTTTTTGGATTTYTATTTCTTTGATGTTTTAATTGATTTGTGCCATACCTCTTTGTTGATAGCTTTGACGTTATTTACGATTTCACATTTGAAATTATCTTCTTGTTTTACTCATTAAAAGGAAAATCATCACCTCTTCAGAACAGAGATTCAGAATTCAGATAATTGTAGATTAATATCTGTTTGTTTCTTCATTCGCTGTTTTTGCTTTGCTTTTTCTTTTACAGGGGAGGGGTTTTAAATGTTAGATAAAGAATAAAAGTATTATAATTGGCTTGATTCAGGGAAGCATGTATAAACTTTATGGACTTGTGCAAGCGAAAGAATGAAGATAAGCTCTGGATAGATGAAATAGCAGCAATGCAGGCATTCTCTCAGCCAACATTTCCATACTCAGAAACTTCCGGTATCATACTAGCTGGTGAAGACAATGAAACTAACCAGGGTATCATGATAAATACTCAAGCATCAAGATCTGATTCAACTGCAAGTCAAGGAAGCTTGGACAACAATCAAGGTATTGTGTAATGTGAATTTTCCGATTTACAAATCCATGGATTATTTCTCATGCATGTGAATTCTTGAAATATAATTTGGGTTCCTTTATGTTAAAATGTAAGCTAACTGAAGCATTTTGACCATTGCATATACAACAAACTAAATGGACCTTGGATCTCAATTTTCTATTTAAATTCAGTCCTTCACCATGTGTAAGTGTTATGTCTCTGCACCTTAGTAATCACTCAAAGCACGCTTCAAGAGATAGGATCTACAATCACAACCGATTTAGATCGTGATCATTCATGGAGCATAAATTTCATTAAAAAAAAAGGATGTCTAGCTTTTGATGCCTTGATCCACATGTATGTGATACTCTAGTTTGATGTTTTTTCCACCTTGGTTGTCGTTTTCCTGAAAACTGGCTCTTGGGTTTGGATGTGTTCTGTTATGACAAGAAAGAAACATGCTTGTGCAGACAGATCTCTTATCTATTTATTTTTGTATGGATGAAAACATGCAGACGGTAGTGTTCCGAAGTCGGCGCAAATGCCATCAGTGAATGGGAAAGCTCAAGTGCCAATGACATGGCCTAATCATCTTCCTCAATATATGCACAACTTTCAAGGTCCTTTATATCCTCCATATCAAGGATATCTTTTCCCCGGAATGCAGATGCCACCACCATATTACCCAGGGAATATGCAGTGGCAATCAAATGCTGAAGACTCCAGTCTTGCTTCTGATCGAGAGCCTGACGGTCGTAGGAATTCTAAATCTCATAGGAACAAGAAGAAACTTTCTCACAAGGAGGTTTCCAGAACTTCAGAACAAGAAGGAACTACCGAGTCCAGTGTTGACAGTGACTCAGATGAGCACTCGGAGGATGATAAAAAGCAATATTTAACAGAAAAAATACGTAAGAAAAGGAACAGCAAGAAATCCTCAAGAACAGTCGTTATACGCAATATCAATTACATAACCTCTAAGAGGAATGGTGAAAAGGGCAGCCACTCGGAGGATGATTCATCTGATGAGGGTGAACTTATTGATGGAGATTCCATCAAGCAGCAGGTAGAGGAAGCTGTTGGGACATTGGAGAGAAGACATAAATCAACCAATCGACACCAAAAGAAACAAAATGGCTTTGGCAATGCTGATGACTTAAATGACTCTGCAGGACAGGAGATTAATCGGGTTTCGAATGAGGGAGAAAAGATGAGTAGCCCATGGGATACTTTCCAGAATCTTCTTATGAGAGACGAGCCAGATAATCACGGTGGAGAATTGCCCTCGGTTCAGGATCAAGACGGACATTTTASAACCAACACTGACGGAAGATCACTTATATTAGACATGGAGTCAGAGAAACCACCAAGACAGCGTGAAGTTTCAAGCGATTCTTTTGTCGTGACAGACAGGAATTCAGGTAATGAAGGGAGAACGCATATTGAAAATTTTGAAGCTGGTGATATTGCCAACCCAATTAATAGAAAGAGGGACAGCACATACGAGGAGTTATTATTTTCACAAAGAGGTGAGGAAGCAGGGAACAATGGGCATTCTGTTGCGTCCGATTTTACCACCGAGTTTTCCAGAATGAAAAATCAAAGAGAAGGCGACTGGTTCGTTGGCAATCCAACTGACAAGTTGGATAATCAGTATGAAAACATAGGCCACAGAGCTTACGACGTCGATTTCTCTTCATCATTACCTCAAGATCATTTCCATGCAGAGAAAAACAAGAAGGATGTGTTGGTTGATGATTCTTTCATGATTCATGCTCGACCATTAGTAGATGACCAATCTGACTTTCTATCCAGACGAGACATAAGCATGGTGTCGGATCTTGTTGGTGATGCCAAAAATGAGTATGTCCGACAAGAAACCTCACGAGATGATAAGCCTGGAACTTTTGGTGTCAATGAACCAGATGACCTTTACATGATCCTTGATCGTGATGTAGCTACAGAGCACACAGCACCATCTTGGACTCCAGAAATGGATTATGAAAATAGTTTTTTAACTATAGCCAATAGTAAGCACAATGATATTGTTGAAACCAATGGTGGCGATATCGAGTCGCCTGGTTTGGAGAAAAGCAATAAAAATAAAGAAACTCCTGGCGGCAGAGTTCCAAGTAAAGAAGGAAGGTCCAAATCGTTGGGGGGATCTCTTGTTAAGGGCAAACCTGATGTTCAATCAAGAACAAGAAAACCACTTTCTGGAAGCAGAACTACAGTTCAGAAGAGCAAATTTGAGAAGGTATTTTAATATAAATTCAAGCTTCAATAGTTTTCTTTCACTGTGAACCTCCATTTTAGCTTCCCTGGTATTGGAATGTACTGTACATAACCATTCTCTTCAGATGTTTTCTTCAAAATTTTCGTCTTTTTAAACTTCTTTTTTCTCTCTAGAGTTCGCATTTCTTCATCTTTTTTTTTTTTAGTGGTGCTTTTCTAAGAGAGATGAAGTTGAAGTTGAATTTTTCATCCTTGAGAATWTCAACACTAGCACTTTCACACATGATTTTCGAATATTGACCTTTTTTCTTCGTTTCTTGTTCGTTCCAATACTGTAGGAAGAAGAAACCAGAAAGAGAATGGAAGAATTGGCAATTGAACGCCAGAAAAGAATTGCTGAAAGAAGCACTTCTAGAAAATTTGGTAGTGTGAGTTCCAAGCCTGGTGTAACTAAGATAGAGAAGCCAAAAGGTCAATCCCAAGTTCAAGAAGCCAAGAAGTCACCTAAGCCTGTACTTAGGAGTTCAACCATAGATCGCCTYGCTACCGCTCATACACCTCAGAAGGTAAMCCCAACTCAATCACCATCAGGCCAACCGAAAAAGTTGATCTCGAGAGCAAATGGCGTTAGCACTCCTCCTTCATCCGRAAAGCTCCCCAAATCTGACAGTAAGAAACTTATTTYGAACAAAGTAAAACCTTCCGATTTAAAAAACGGCCACAAGACATTGAGTAAGGCACTTTCTTCTGATTCTTATGGCCAGACAAAGACGGATGGCAAGGAAGACGTAGCAGCATTACCAGCTGAGTCGGCAGTACYGAATGCAACTCAACCAATCGAGGATGGTGCCGTTGATGATGTGGAAGACATTAAGGAGGTACACACTACCCATTCAGTCGAGAAAAATGATGAAACTTTTATTACTCAAGGAGTTGCCTTAGTTGACAGAAGTGGTAATGGTAATTCAAACAACAAGGTTTTGTCTGTGCCCACTGAAGATAAACTTGAACAAAACCAGTTTAAGGGTGGTGATGATATTGATTTATCTAAAGCACCTTTAGTTCTTAGTGAAGAAAAAGTCATTTCTAATGCTCACAATGAATATACTCCTGAAAAGATGGTCGATTTTGCGGCGTTGGCTGATAAATCCCTAGGCCCTTCACCCTTGAATACTGGAGAGAATGTGGTAGCTGATTACATTGCAGCCACATCTGAAATTTCTGAGATCGAAATCTCGACTCCTCCCTCAACTAACGGGATGGCCTCGGAATATACAACACACTCCAGGAAGAAATGGATGACTGATGAAAACTCTCCTAAAGCGCCTAAAGGGTTTAGAAAGCTGCTCTTTTTCGGACGTAATAGCCGAAACACATCTGCAGATTGATCGATCCACCCCTTTATTGTCTTGTTAATTCAATTCTGTGCTAGCCGATGATTGTGTTGAGTTCTTTGTTGAGATTGAGTTCTTCAGTAACCATGTTGGATGGACTGCTTAAATTGTTTGATTGTTATGCAGATAATACGTGAGTTCAGGTGACTGAGATGAAGCAAATAGATGATCCTTGTACTTATTAAGGCCATGGATGATGCTGCCATGTTTGGATTTGTGTTGTAATTTATATTATTTCATTTTTTTCTATTGGAGTTGTAAAAGGTAAAGTTTCTTTTTTTTTTTCTTTTTCCTCAAGAGAGTTTTAAAAGGCCATGCTTCTTCATTCACTTTGCATAATATTATATAATGTAACTGTAATTTCTGTTCATAATTATATTTGTAATTCGAACAATGTCCCAAAATAATTAGTTTTGAGCTGCATTCTTTACCTTGCTGTATACATTATTTGCAGAAATACATTGTATCTTTGGCAAGTATGCTCAAATACATTAGTGTTCTTTTTTTTCTCTTTATCTTGAGATGAAGGCTTTATGTAGTTGTTGAGTTTTAGTTATAATCTCTAGGTTTAAATATTATTTTAGTCGTTGTATTTTTAACTTTGGTTGGTCTCTTGTTTTTTTAAAAGGTTTATTTTGATTTTTGTCCTTTCAACTTTTGTTCATTTTGATTCTTGTATTTTATGGTCCCTGAACTTTTATCAATTTGGTCCCTATTTGTATTTAACGCAAAAATTATACACAATAAAAACTCATTAATACAAACTTATGGTTACTAAAATTATGATAAGAAAAAAGAGATAAAAATGAAGGGTTTTACCCTACATGCTATCAAAGTTGTTAACAAGATGAACTTGAACTTGCATTTAATGAACTCTAAGTATATGAGTTATTGTGGAACTCAAGTTCAAACTTTAGTTGGCTAGAAACTATAATTCTTGAATTGATGTAGTTTTAAGATTTTTCATTTACTTTTTAGGTTTTACTTAGTTAATGGCTTATTACGGTCATAAAATTTGGAGGTTATCACTATTCAAACACCTAGTGGAAGGTTTAGGGTTGTATTTTGAGGCTATATAAAGCCTTGTAAGTTCTCTTTACAATCAGATAGATTTGAAATGTAATGAAAATGAGTATCCGTGCTTTATTTTAGCCAAGAACTAATGTACTCTACAATCTTGTGAAAGTTTGTATTTTTAAGATTATTCAAGTGAAATTGATCTATCTTGTTTGTAGAGTGATTCAGATTTCAAAACAAGGAAAGTTTTTTTTTGCCTTATTTGATAAAACAAAGTAATCCAATCATTCATTTATGAGGTTTTTGAGGTTGGGTTTATTAACCAGACTTTTATATCCAATTTTAAAAGGTTTCTAACATTTGTTATCAAAGCTTTAGGTTCTAGATTACATGTATTTTTCTCTTCTTATTTTTTAGGCTCTAGTACCAAAATAGACGTTGCAAAAATATAGGATAAAAATGAACAAAAGTCGAAAATAATGAAAATGTAATTGAACCTAATCTTATCCGTTGCCCCCAACATGCTTATAGTGTAATAATGTTAACGACCTTGTTGTATTTGAAATTGTCAACTATGGAACAATTAACAAAAATCTAAAACTAAAATCTAGATCTTTAAGTATATAAAATCTCAAAAGTTTAAACACCAAAATATGCATCTGATTCAACTATTATCTAATAGAAATGAACAATTCATCACATAGCGAAAGAATTTGATTTCTAAACCATTTAGAATTTAAATTGAAATGATGATACCATATTATAAAACCTAAATTAGTATTATAAATTGGGACATAGATCAAAGACAGAGTCTAGGTCTATGTAACACAAACATCCTCCAAGGATCTAGATCTAGGACATGTCTGGGCCCACAGGCTTCTACTAGCATGCTGACATGGCACCATCTGATTGGACTGTTAGTATCATTGGTCTGTCTACAGACTGTATAGTATCTGACAACTGCCACCCAACTCAAACTCCTCAAATTTTATATTTTTCCTTTTTTTTTTCTAAATGAATTTTTTTAAAAGAATAATAACAAAAAATTAAAAATTAAAAGATTGCGAAAGGCAACCGAAACTGGTGGCACAAGGTTCCGTTAGGCTGCTTTCTGCGAATTCCAACCGTTGATTTTGTAAGAGGATGTCAGATCAGCCGTTGGATTTGTTGGTTTTTTTTCCTCTTTTCCTTTCCTACTTTCGATCTTTAATTTTGATTTACCAAACGAACATATTTCAACGATAATTGATATATGTCCTTGATCAAAAAATTGTGAGTTTGAATTCCCACTTTATATATTTTATTAAAAAAAAATTTTAATTTTAATTTTTGTAATTTCAAAATATTCATGTAAATGATAATGGTTTAGTATTCTATTTTTTTCTTTTTTTTTTAAATTTTTATTACTATTTTAGCAAGGTATATAGTCAATAAAATGTTTTAAGAAATAGTCATAAATTTACATTAAATAATTTCTATTGCAAATATAGTTTATGTCAAAATTTTATAAACAATAACTAAAATAAAATCAATATTTTATAAATATAAAGATTAAAATAGATCAAAGTTAGAAGCATATAGAGAGTACAAAAATTAGTTTAAAAGAAAAAGAGAGTACAGAAATTAAAATAGTGTTCAATTTTTTTTTCTTTTTCTTTTTAATTTTTGGACAAAAAGGGAAATAAAGAAAGCCGGTGGGCTTTAATTGTTCTGGAAGCATCTGCTCTTCTTTACTTCTCTCGTACACATAATTTTCCCCCACCGACAGTCAGGTGAGGCATCTAATTCTTTTCACTCAATTACCCATTTTACCCTTCCTTTTTTTTTTGGAATTACTTTCCCCCCAATTTCTTGCTTTCATTTTAAGAAAATTGTGATGCAGATAGTAAATTTGTCAGGGTAAAAAAAAAAAAAAAATAGATATATGTTAATTACAACAATTGAACTATTCTCATTTCGGTAGTAAATTTTTGGATATTAGGACTTATGAGAATTAAGAATAGAAATTGAAATGCTTTTTCACAACTACATAATTGACTAATTAATCATATAAACAAAATTAAAATTTTTAAGATTATAAAAACCAAATTGAAATGAAAATTATTTAGATCGTGTCTATCCATACGGATTATTATTAAAAAATTGATAACTCAACTCCATCTTTATAGTTTTGCCTATTAATTGTCAAACATTTAATTGTTGTCCAACTTAATTATTTTTCAATTAAAATTGAGTAAAAATAATTTGATCCTATTTTTTTAGTCGGAAATATTTACTATAGCCCATATTTTATGTTATTCAGAAAGAAATTAAATTAGAATCATTCTTGAATTTAAAATTTTGGGACACAAACAAATCTCTTTGGTTTATTGGTTGGGCCGTTACATTACACTTGAAAGCTCAGTTTTTTCTTTTTCCTCCAAAAAGAAAAAATTTACTTTATTACATTACTGAAATCTCAGGCGTTTTCAGAAATTCAGACAATGTTTTGGGCATAATTGGGATTTGCGCAGGCCACTGGTAAGAAGTTGAGACGTTATTTTCTCTTCCCTTCCATTTTTTTGCTTCTTCTTCACTGTTTCCACCAGAGGAGAGCTTCAGCCCTGCCTTCTCATATAAACCCACCAGAGAAAATTAGTGCAGAAAGAGATTGTAGAGCAGATCTGGCAAAAAAAAGCTTCTGAAGCTGAGCATTTCATCAATCAATGGCTTCCAAATTGATTCTGATTATAGTTTTGGTAATCGACGTTATTGCTTTTGCTCTGGCTGTTGCCGCTGAGCAAAGAAGAAGCACTGTAAGCTTCAGTCTCTCTCTCGCCATTGTCGTTTTCTTTAGTGCTTTTTTAGTTTTTACTGCTAATTTTGTCGATTTGAAGTATTTTACTTTCTGGGTCTGTTTGGTTTCTGCGATTTTGCTTCTGGGTCGTTCTGGGTTTGCTGAAATTAGGATTAGAAAGAAAAATTAAGAACAGGTGACAGAAGAATCTTGCCTTTTCTGGGGTTTTCTCGGCAACCAAACAGCGATTTGTAGCTTTCTGCTGCAAATTGGTTCATCCCATTAATGATAATGTGGTGTATCAGTCCTTCCATAGCTCAGGAAATTGATATCGGGGTAACTGGGAAGTTATTTTCTATTGTGTATAATGTCAGAGAAATGTTGGGAATATTGTTGACATTTTCAAGCTTCTAGATTACAAACTACAAAGACCAAACTAAGATTATAGTTCAATAAGGACTATGCTTTGGCTTTTTCTAAAATGTAATTGTTTAACTGTTCTGAAATGTTGTACAAGAGAACTTTTATAGATTTCTTAGCTTCTTGCTAACTTCAATGGGGAAAATTTGCAACTCTTCTCTTCTGTGTTTCCTCTTCTTAGTCTGCAAAACGATCTAATCTTGACCTACTCGTTCGCGTTGTTATGAATCTTATCTTGCTGATAAGCTTTACTAAATGGAAGCATTTGTATTAGAATAAGCTGCAAATCGGAAACTCGATAACTGGTTTTGTTCTGTATCTCTTGGGATTCTTCTCTAGTTTAAAGATCAAAGAGTTGGTTTCAACTTATTAGTTATGCCTATATGACATACTAACATAGAATTTGATGCATTGCACTGATAATGGTACATTGTTTTCAAGCATTTGTTGTTGAGTTTATAGGCTAATTGGTTGATCTTATGGTGACAGGCCAAGGTTGTTCAAGATAAAGAAGTGGAGCACAACTATTGTGTGTACGACTCAGACATCTCGACGGGCTATGGCGTCGGTGCTTTTCTACTACTCATGGCGAGCCAGGGCGTGATAATGGCAGCTAGTCGATGCTTTTGTTGCGGGAAGTCGTTGAATCCTGGAGGTTCAAGGGCCTGGGCTATTATCCTATTCATAATCTGCTGGTAATTAGTGAATTGGTTTCAACTTCACTCCATCAGTTTAGCCTCATTGAAACTAAACTAAACTCCCAATGTTAATCTTGCAGGGTGTTTTTCTTCATCGCCGAGGTTTGCTTGTTGGCGGGGTCGGTAAGGAACGCCTACCACACCAAGTACCGAACCTTGTTCAGCGACGATCCTCCCTCATGCCAAACTTTGAGGAAGGGAGTTTTTGGTGCAGGTGCAGCCTTCATTTTCTTCAATGCCATTGTATCTAAACTCTACTATATATTCTACTCCAAGGCCAGAGAAAGCCTACTTCCATACGGCGGAGAAACTGGCGTCGGGATGGGAACCTACAAATGAGCGTATGCGTAATTAAGTCTAATAGGTTTTCTTCAGATTTTATCGACGAACTCGGACCGATTTTGAGATGATTTTGCATATCAAGTATTGGTTTTTACTTAGGAAGAAACGTTAGTATCATAAGTTTTACTTTTGTGTAGCTCTTTGTTTCCCTTTTAACCACTGCTGGGCTCTTTTTTTTTTTTTTTTCCTTCATGTTTTTTGGTGGATTGTTACATTTGTATTGACAATAAGAGAAACATTGGTTGTATTCGTATAAATATTTGTATTCTTTTATGAATCCTGTTTTACATTTTTGCCACTGGGTATTTCATCATATTGCTGAAAAGGCTAAGAAAATTCAACCTCTCTCAATTTCGAATCACCCAAAATTTGCTCCAAAATCTCTCTTTCCCACCCTCTCTCACACTTTACGGGATCGACCGCAGGATCAAATCCTACAACATACAACTATTAAGAGACACTAGAACTGCGATTATCATATCTTACGGTCTATACAATATACGACTATCAAGAAACACAAGAATTGTAGTTGTCATATCCGGATCAACGTACTTGAAAGTTGGCACTGTGATTGGCATATTCTACTTAGGTCCTCTTGTCATGGCCTGGCCTCAATATATAGGTAGATTTACAAAAGTTTTTGTTTGTTCATTTTTATATAATGAAAGCATTCCTCCAAAGTTTGAGTAGAAATGAATATGGATAATATGAAAACTTGGGATTTGTGTAAGGTATGTTTGGGTTTAAAATGTACAAAAGTTTGTGAGTTTTAAGACCATAATTTGGATTTTTAGGTAGCTTGTGAGATTAATGTAAGTTTCTAATTTATGGTAAACAAATTCACATACCGACTCATGAATCAAATTATATTATTTAATATTATTTTTATCCATGACTTGGTAAGATATACCAATTTTTATCATAAACTTTTAGTTCTAAAGTTAGATGACTGCTGCAATATTCACCTTAAATTTGAAAAAGCATTGTAATTTTTACATTCAAATAAAATTATTCGAAGAATCGTCAAAAAAGTATTATCATTATGTGCATCCATGGAATAATAAACATATGTTTAATGCAAATGGGAAAGAATTTCTTAGAAAAATGACATTGGACTTGAATTTTTTAACTAGTTATTCAACGGTCTATTTTGTATCTTGATCAAACTTAATCCACTACAAAACTTGATTTTCATTGAAATTAGTGATTATTTGGATATCCTAATCAGTGGATGAATTAACGGAAATCCATATAGAGGTAAAAATTACTTATCTTAAAAAAAAAATTTCTTCTTACCTTCAAATATAAAGATGGGATACAAACATAGGACATTAGACATATTGAGAGAGCAAAACGCAGCATTCATTTTTGTTTTGGACAAATACCTAATGTGGAGAATGATGTGACGTCATAAAGATGGGTGCAATTCAATTTATTGGCCCCAACTCTAACTTTACTACAAAATAATTTAATAATAATTAATTAAATTAAATTAAAAAGGCAAATAAAAACCTCAAATTTTATTGGTGATATATATTAGGTCTATTTTTAAATAGCCATAAATAGTAGTATGCTTTTTCAATGATGATAAGAATAAAAATAGCTTAGAACCGTAAATAGAAGTACATATTTATTTTTTAAAACTATTTTTGTTTTTTGAGATCAAATCGTGGGAATTTTATTTTTATGTTTTATGTAATTTAAACTTTAAAATGCAGAATTACATTAAAAAGAGATAAAAATGTAGATAAATATATTATTTTTTATTATAAATTCACTCATTTTTTTTAAAATTAAAACATGTAAAATATAATATATTATAAATAATACAGCATTGTAAAATAATAAATTATACAAAATTTATTATAAAAATGTTAATAAATTAATTAATGTAATTTTAGATTAAACTTACCTATTTAGTTTGTAACTATTGTTAAATAGACGTTGAACAAATTTTTAAATTGAGCTTTTAATTTTCAAATCTGCTACCAATCACATATTTGAAAACAACAAATATAGTTTTAAGATTATAATTCTATTATTCATTCAACTTTTAAGATTTCTGTTTTCTAACCACCCGCTAAATGCACGTCATTTGAATTTTAATACTCTAAAAAAGAAATTAGGCCGCCAATATAAACATAGTCCAACGGATTAAAGCATAAATTATCAAAATGTTCATTTTGGTCTCCATATTTTAAAAAAGCTATCATTTTAGTATTTTCATTTTCATTTTTATCTTATTTTGAAATATAACCATAAATTTGTATTAAATAGTTTCCATTGTGTACAAAATTTGTATTAAAATTTTGTAAATATGAATCAAATTAGTCACTTTTAAAAATATAAAGACCAAAACAGATATTTCGTAACTATAACTAAAATAAACAAAAAGTAAAAATACATGGACCAGTATCATAAATATAAAATTTTGATAAAAAACAAAATGCTCCAAAAAAAGAGTTTCAAATATTATAGATTATATATATATAGACAATAAAATCCTTTTTATAATTATAAAGACATAGTTTAATTAGTCCAAACATCGATATTAGTTCAGTTACATGAATATTTAGGTCTTTTTTTTCCCTATTTTATTTTGAAAAATACAAACATTTTCCTTTTAATCTTCCCATCAAATTGCACTGATCAATTAACCCATTATATTAAAGGCAATTAGGCAAATGTCACACAAATTTTTTTTTTTTTTTAATATTAGCAAGAGTTGTTCCTTCTAACCTAACTAGAAAAATCAAACAAAACTTTCTTTAATTATCTAATTAGGCGTAATTATTACCCCATGGACTCATTAAAATTATACACTCACAATGATACATATCTAATGTGTTAGATTATGATCATAAAGACCCAAATAATGGTTCTATATATATATATATATATATATATATTATAAACAAAGCACCTTGTTACTTGAGTAATTATTGAAACTTATTGAATAAAATATTCTAACAGATACGAAATTACACGTCTGGTGAGGTGTATAATTTTCTAGTTAATGAAAATAGAATATAGTTTATGTTAAGAAAATTACATAAAATAATAAACTTATGCGATTGTGCCAGTAATTTGATTCACTATTCATTTCACTTGTATTATTGAAATAATACGATTTTGATAAATTATGGAATAGAATTATAATAATTACTGAAACATTTTAGGTAGATCATTTTAACCCGGTTAATGTCGAATAGATTGAGGATTTATTAGACACAAAAAAGATCTATTAGGCACATACTTTCAATTTTTCCATGATTGCCAACCTTCCTCCATAAACTTTCAATTTTGTAATAGTTCATGAACCGATTAATTGACACAAAATTGAAAAATTAGAATTCTACTCAACACAAAATTCAATTTTATGTCTAATAAGATCCGTTATTTTGAAAAATGTCGAATACATCACGATTCTACTAGACACAAAATTGAAAGTTGAAAGACTATTATACACGTATACCTTCTTCCATAATTCTCCCCATTTCCCCCCTTCTGCAAGTTCTTCTCTGTAATCTCGTAATTTAATGGGCAAAC